CATAAATGCACATCTTTTCTGCTTTTATATTCAGATACAAGTTTTCATATTGGTGCATATCATTTGGGGCAGAAGTATCAGCCAACCACCGTATCAGTCGGGCTCTCGTGCAAAGTCCATAATGTTGCAGCTCCTGCTCTTTGGAACTACAGGTTCTCCGCAGTGCACAATCTGTCCCTTAATTGACACATCAGTCACCCTGACAGGAAAAAGAATTGACATTTTCTCCCATTGTGCTATCAGTCCTCCCAGTGCAAATGTACATGTGCATGCATGTACTTGTGTAAACACCATGTGGTTGTTTTCCTGCTGTGTGAATAATTCAGCCCCCCCACTACGGCCCAAACCTAGTCCTTAATCACACAATAAAGGCTGCAGGGTTTTCTCACCACTGTGCTTTTCTGCATGACTTTCAAATTTACCCCCTCTCTCTGGAGAAACTCTGGACCCTCTCTAACTCCTCCACTTGCTATCATAATTGATGCATCTGAAGCACTCTTTGCAAGAACACGCACGTAACCTTGCAGCTTCAGATTCTTGCCATGCAGACTCACATGCTGCACGAGTACAGAAACCCTGCTGACATAAATAAATGCTGATAGATTTGTATGGAGACATGCATCATTTAAAGTGGATAAACTCACAGAGGCAAATAGACCTGTGCGCACACACACACGCTCACAGCAGGGAAGATGAATTATGCTCTGCAGCTTGATCCTGTGAGGCTCATAAGTAATATTCACCTCCAAAGGTGAGACATTAGTAAAGTGCAGAAGTGTGTTCAGAGGGATTCTTTACTCTAGGGGCTGACTTCAAATAAATGGAATCGCTTATGAGCTAAAACGCTCTGAGGTGCCCAAGTTGGATTAAAACTACACTGTTTAATAGATTCAATAAGATAGGTAATCAACCACGACTCAAACACGTATAGCAGGGTTTTGTAAGACTTGTCCTTAAATTTGAAGAAAGATTTGGAAAGTGCAAACTTTGATTGTGTCAAGGTTTTGGAACTTGCATTCAGGGTTCCCAGCACATTAATTACTCGTCAGATTTCAGAAAATATAAATATATATATATATGAGAAAGAAGAAAAGAACTACAGTAGAGTTTAACTCTCAGCGTTTCTTTTTCCTGAAGAGTAACAACCTCTCACCAACATCACAGGCTCTGCACATACACTACAGCTGATGTGATGAGGTTTGTTTGCACCATGCTGCATACATTTGCACAATAATGATGAAACGTGGTCGTACATTATAGGTAAGTAGCTCTTGTTCAATTTAAGCTTATGGAGGCAGAGCTCTAATGACCCTGGGATGCTCATGTTTAGATGCAGCTGCCGCACTCACACTGACTTACCTATGACAATCACGCACAATGCAATCATATGGCAACATGAACAATGGCTCTAATTGTCGTGACTCAGAATTAGCCCTGAAAGTGATGAGAGGTATGAATGACGTATAATATTTAAACACACACAAAGCACACAAGCTGGATTTAGCCGAGCCAAACAAACCCGCAGACTCGAATGCAAACAACACACCAGTAACCAACTGCGACTATTTACAATTCGTTTTGAACACGGCTCGTGTTTGTTTTGCACCGTAGCCAGAAGAGAATCACATCTTATGACCTGAAATGTAATTGCCAAACTCAAAAGTAGGGAATTTTTACACCACCAGCACTCAAAAACAAACCAATAAATTATTCATTCTAACAGAAAACAACACAGCACATTATTGCAATAATAGTATTTGTGCTCCCTCCATTAATACACGCAGCAAACAGGACTTATTGGAGTGTCCAGTGTCTCATTCCCACCGCAGATGATATATTAGCTTTATTAGCTAAATGCTTTCAAAGCGTGGTCTGAAAAATCTATACATCTCCCCCAGTTATTTTATAAAATGGTCCGTTAGACTACATCGTCGTCTGACCACAAGCCATTAATATTCATATCTGCAAGCACAACAACATCTCTTCTGGGCGGCATTATTGATCGTTCGTTTGCATCCAAGAGTTTCACCACGGTTCGTCTGTAGTTTGCTTCAGTCAATTAATGCCTTACACAATGCAACGTGAGGGCTGCGCCTCTTTCTCGCCTTTAATTCCTCGAGGTATTTTAATGAGTGGCAGAGATACAGAATAATTAGGCTTTCGGATACAACTCCTGGAAAACAAAAACAAAAAGGTTTACTGCATGCAGGAGGTGAGGATGTAAGTTGTATGTGTGTAGGTGTGCTGAAACACTGGGGATTTTTGGCTTTTTCCAAACACCAGTGGTTCTCAAAATGGGTTTATTAGCACGATATCCGAGGCCAGTTGATGCTTCTGCATAGATATCTCTCTATGGCACGTCTATCACCAAACTTCAATCGACGGGGCGTGATTTGGAATGAACCACACTCCCTTTGTTCCCTCCAACCATCCATTTCCTACACCTGCTTTTCTCTAATCATCCAGGGTCATGGGGCGTAAGGGTTGGCTGGAGCCTATCCCACAATGCAATACAGACATCCAAGAAAAGCACATTTATGTAAAGTGATACAGAAGACTGAGCAGAGGAATTTGCATTAAGTCGAGTAAAATGTCGGACGATGCTGTAATCGCTGCCAAAGGTGTTTCCAGTGTAAAATACCTGCTAATGTTCCACCGTGCTCAATTAGATCTTATCTGCACTTGATTTCCTCTTGTTTCTGTCGTGGTGCATGTACTCGAGGCACTGAAGTGACATGAATCCATATCAAGTGACTATATACATGCACTGTGTAGTGTCTTCAGGAGCCTCATCCATGAATGAAGCACCATTGTGAGGGCCGACTTTGTGTGTCACTTCCATACCGAACTGTAGTCTGCTACACAGCTTTACCCTGGGGGCGATCTTATGATGCTGGCTGCCAAGGGGAGCAGCTTGCTATGGAGCCATGGACACTGAACCCCATATCCTGTTGTTCGCTTGGCACACAGTTTAAACCCAAGCCGGTGACCCAGTTTTGCATCTGAACATCAGAAGTATTTGGTGGTGGGATGTATTGTATTGAGTGTTCTGTTCTGAGAGCAGCCTCACAGGTAAAGCCGATAAAAACTATTATATGAAAGGGGAAATAAAGAATCCACCCTCATTTCTCTCTAAAGCCCATGAGTTTTCTGCACCTCAATAGACCAGGGTGTGATGTAGCCTTTAAACTAAAAGCCTTCAAGTGTTTGGTTTCTTCTACACATGGAAGGAAAATTCTCCAAATGCTATTAATGTGTGTCCTTACTTATTCCACAGCTGGAAGTGTGGCCGTTATCTCAGAATTTTGGGAATATGCAGGAAACTACCACCTGGACTACAAATCAACAATGTATAGTGAGATAAAATGGCCCGACAAAAGCAAATTGCAGCACTTCATCACCAAAAAGGTGTGCTCCTGCAAGGTGTTGAGGGAGAAAAATCCCCAGATTAATGAAATCTAGCAGGGTAAAAGTATCTAAGGGAAGATTTTCCCTTTTTAATGGAGTGTGTGCCACATTTCATCAGGTTTCACATATAGCACAGTACAGCTCAATGAAAATGGATGGCCAGTAATAGAGGGAAATGTACAGTGTGAGTGGGACCATAACCAATTGATGGATTTAATGGTGGGTAACATAAGGACACCTACAGTAACAGATTGATTTTTGTTCAGTTCTCTTGAAGGACCTTCTTTTTTTTTTTAAATCGTAAATCAATTGGGAAACAGTTACTCTTTCATAGTAAAGTAAAGTGCATTTAAGGAAAAGCCATTATCTCCTATGGATTAACCTTATTACATTCTCTCTGATTATAAAGGAGATGATTCACAGGGGATCTCGGATGGTTGTTACAGACTACAAACCATGTATAGCATCAATATCATTTTATAATGTTTACATTAAGATTGGTTGTTAAGTCAAAATATCTATAAAATCTGATTGGGGCATGACAGTCAGTGTCACGTTCCTCCAAAAATAAGTCCAGCCCACTTAGAACGAGGGAGAAAGAGAACAGACTACAGGGAAAATGGAAAATAACCAAGTGTCAAAATTCTGAATGTGTCTTTTTTCCATTTTAGCATCTTGTTTTTTTTACCATGGTGGAAGACATTGAATGTTTGCAGCATAGCAAATAAGGGGACCTTTCTATTTATCTCTGCTAAGTAGGATACATTCTCACCACTGTCTATTGGTTTGTTGGGTAGTTGGTCGGTTTGTCAGCAGAAAAACACAAAACATACTGAGCTGATTTCGATGAAAATACGGTTTCTGCAGCTTTCAACATGTTAAATACCATTAAGTCCCTGTCAAGCCTATAATAAATTAAATCTAAGATGTATGTCAAGTACCACATATACCAAGGGAGTCCTAGAATTAAATACTTAAATACTTCCCTGTAAATGAAGATAGAGTGAAGTAGTCTAGAGGACAGCACTCTTCTATACACCGTATTATCTCGCAAACTACAAGCA